GGGGAAAGAAGCACCAGTGGGACCGCCGCTCAACGATGGCACTACCGTTGTACTGCCAGAATTGTTCGGATTTACCACCGTAGGCTGTTGTTGTGGAGGCTGCTGCTGTTGTTGCTGTGATTGCTGTTGCGACTGCGTTTGCTGTTGCTGCTGCTGAACATCTTTTACGGACGGTGGAGATGTATCGGGTTTCATGGTAGGCGATGCCGGTACTGTTCGCGGTGGACCCATACTGTCGGGCATGCTGGTATTGTGCGGCGTCGGACTACTTTGCGCGCTTGCACTGGATTTGTTGCACGGTTTCGCAGGATCCGCTGGAGTATGCGGCGCAGCGCTACCCGGCGTGTGCGGTGTGTGCGGTGTGTGAGGACTGTGTAGAGAACCCGTGAAGCCTCGGCTCATGCTATCCATTTGTACAGGACTCGCGCCCTCCGATCTAGTAGGAAATTGACTGTTACTATCTAGACTTCCTGGCAAGATTCTGTTGGGCATCTCCGAAGAACTACCAGTATTTCTATTGTCAATGGAAAAAAAAAACACCATAGTTACGCGCAAGTTTTATATAACTACATTAACCAAGATTTTTTTCGTTCGAATGATATTACTCAAGTAAAAGTTAAAATGAGAGAATGAGGGTACTTACGTAGATGAATTGCCATCTTTTAGACTCGTGTTAGGTTGTTTCTGAATGGTCAGTTCTTGCCCTTCGAACGTGCTAAGGTATTGAAGTTGATGAGGACTTGGTACTGGCATTAGATTTGCTTCTTTCACGGCCGATGCATTAACGTTTCCAGCATGTTGCTGCTTTTGTTGAGCTAAAGATTGTAGTGTTCGGCAAAACATACCGTCCACTAAATCGAAAAGAGATACACAAATTTAATTTATAAATTATACAAAATTTTCATCACGCCAGAGATTACACTTTGATCAAACCAATGAAAAATCTTTACAAAAAAAAGAAAGTCTTCAAGTAAACTTACCGTTTGGTTGTTGATTGGTAGGAAAATCGAGGGAAGTATCCTTTTGAGCAGTAGCACCACTAGGACTAAGAGCAGCAATATGGGAATGAGACACTGGTGTTCCTGGATTGCTGTGATTCAATCGCGTCGTTGAAACAGCTGCTGTGGCTGCCGTGGCAACCGTCGGGTTTGGAGAGTCCTGACTTGTCGGGCTTTGTCCTGGCAGGTGGCTGGTCCTCTGATTACCAAGTTGGAACTGTCTGTTGCAGTCCGCTGGTGAATTCAGAGCGGAACTTGCGCGCGGTGATGGTAGCGACAGATTGCTGGTCGGATTGTTGGGTGACGATGGATTCGGACTTTGAATTGCAATTGGAACACTGGCGGATCGAGTTGTTTGATGATACGGTGGTGGCGGGCCTTGACTTCGCGGTATTCCGACCATATTGGCACCGCGCAATGGTACTGCACCAGGATTACCGACAGTTGCCTACAATATAGAAATATAATGAGTATACATGCATCTACATGTATTTTGTTACGAAAAATAATTTATTCAATTAAACTTATTACACATACTTTATTTTTTCCATCAAGAAATTGATGCTGCAATTTATGCCAATCCATAGATGGAGAACATTGATTTGGAACACCTACAGGAGGAACATTCGTGGGAGGACATGACACCGTCGTTCCTTGCGCCGCATCTGTTAAAGCATTGCCAGCTTGATCCTCCTTGTGACCGGGAAATAATATCATTTGCATTTTCCGTAAGGTCGCCAGTTGAACTTCTCTGTGCTGCCTTTGTTTCGGCGTCAAATTTTCATCTGGAACTTTGACACCTTGGAGAGATGGTTGTAAACCTCCTGGACCTGGACTCGTTGTGCCACCTAATAAATTCGGACTGTGGCCCATGGTAGCGTTATTAGCGGGTTGAGGGTTGGCTGTGTTAAAACATAGCACACATTAAATTTCGCATAAAATGTTAGTAGTCGATATTTGAATGAAATATTTAGTAAAAATTACCTGAATTACCAGGTGAATTCGGCACAAGGCAAGGCACGTCTATGTTTCCATCATCCAATGATGGTTCAGAATTACCGAGGGAGTTTCCACCGTTTATGTTTCGCAAGTTAGGTTGTTCGTTCCAAAATTGTGGAGCATTTGGATCTAGTGCTGGTAAATCCGGGGGTTGTTCAGTCGGGAAAGTATTATTCGCATTTCCCTGATGGCCTTTCTGTTTCATCATAGCAAGATTATTTAACCATTGAGCAGGATTTTGTCGAAATTGATTTACTTTATTTGGATGTTTCTAAAAGAATAAAAACGATAAATATATATTAATGGCAATTAAATAAATAATAAGTAATATACGTGTATAATGTATATGAAAAGACAAATTGCGAAAAGTAACATTTTGTGCGAGATATTTAATATTAAAAATGATATAAATAAAACACTGAGATAAATTATATAAATAAATAAGAAATAAGATATGAAAATAATATATATTTATAATAATATATATTTATTTCAACAAGGAATTATGGAAAACTTTTCTATAATTAAGAATTTATTTGGTATAATAAGCTGCTCATGTGTGTAATAGAAAATTTATAGTGCTGTCGAAAGAATTCAACGCTGCGCATAATACCTCCAAATATTTTTTAGTGCCTGGTTGTGCACAATGATAAGCGATGATTGAATCATATTCGCCTCTCAACACTGTCTCTGCGGCTTTATTCGCCAATGCCGTAGAAAATACAAAAACTTGACTCGACTGTTGCATATATTGAGTCTCCCCGCTGCTCGTACTAGTTCCCATCTGTTTACCCACGACATTACTAACAAGTGGTTGAATGCTGTCCGCTGTAATAACATTTCCACTATAATCTACAGCAAAAAGGATAATTTGATTAATCTAATATAAGACACGTGTGAGAAGAAAAACAAATGTACACTTAACGTACATATAAATAACAAAAGACAGAAAGTGAGGAACAGATATGAATTAAGTTGATCTTACCAGGTAGATTGTCAGTGGGATTATTAGGGTCGCCCTCCTGCTTGACCGAATTCAGGATGGGCTGATTCCCGTTAGCATTCTGATTCTCCCCAGACATTGTACCTTCACCATTAGATGGATCCAAGCAAGGGTCTCTCGGACACTCTGAGGTATCCTCTCCAGTGGCATCGTCCGTCCCACCTGTGCCTTCTTCCTTGATTTTAACAGGGTCGGCGTCAGGTTCATCCTTGACAACGGTGGTAGGAGGACAACAGCTGGGCTCGTTGGGCTTCTTTTCGGTTTTCATGGCTGGAGCTTGCCGCATACGCAAACGAGCGAGCGTGTCAAACCTTGCTGTTGCGGTTGAACAGCGGGAAAAGACGCATGGCCACCAGCACTAGGTCCGCGTCCTCGCGATGCCCGGTTGTCGCGTGAGCAAAGGAAGAGAGAAAGGGCAGACGAGAGGAGAGAAAGGATAGGTTAACGTCGAGATGCACGTCGTCAGGTCGACCGTAGATCACGCGCACTCACCAGACGGCACCTACGAAACCGTTCGTGGCACGAAGCATCGCCATGTGGTCACTTCCCGTAGGATAACACGACGAGATCCGTCATAGAGACGATGGGATCCGAGTCTATCGCAGTCTATCGTGCGAGAATGTATTACGTGTATGTCCGGTGTGCGGATAAAAAGAGGATGCTGCGGGGAAGCCTCGCCACCTGGATAAGTGAGAACTGAAAGTTCGGCCGGGACGGCCGATTACGTTAGGGCGAACCGGCTGGAAGCTGGGCCGGAACGCGCGACGGTAGTCCCGTAACACTAGTCCG